CCCCAAAACCCCAAAACCCCAAAACCCCAAAACCCCTTTATAGAGAAAATATTTTGAAAGCATATAAAATCATTTTAATGGGAAATAATCAACCGCAAAACGTTTGGACATATGAAGAGGTTTCTGAAAAATATGAGAAAGCAGTTACTACACGTTTAGAAGAAGAAGCTCAATACAAAGATTATGAAGGGAGAAGGCAATATACTCAAGCTTATTATAAGGAATATCCTGAGGGGAAATTTACAAGGAACTCAACGCTTAATATTGACCTGGATAAGCAAGTGCATCAATATTTCATTGATTATTTGGGATACAAACACTTGCCATCTATTTACTACTTAGGAGTTAAAGGGATTCACAGAAATTTTATGAATAAAACAGTATTTTCAAGATTTAAAAAATATCACAATCGGGCTGATAGGATAAAAGATAATTTTGATAGATTTAGCAACTTCACCAACCACAACTTTCCAAGAGAGGTGGAGCACTTGCAACTTGAAGGGAGAAATTTTGATTTTAGTCTTTTTCCTGAAGAGCAAATCCAAATGATTTCTCAAAAAATAAAGTCATCAATCCACTTAAAAGGCTTTAAAATGACAACCAGAGATCTTCAGACAGTTCTCAATGCTAACCATCACTTGAAGAGGATCTGTGTAGATTCCTTAAAGATTTCAGACCCCGATGCAGAACTCGAGCTACAAGGAAGTTTTAGGAATATCGAAGAAATCATTTTACCAAAAATTGGTCTTAGCAACAGAAATATAGAACATATTGGTAAGTTCCTACATGATATCAGTTTTCCTCTGAAAGAATTTTCAGCAGATTTTTTTTAATGAATTCACCTGATCTAATGACTTATAGTTGGTCACCTAATTGCGAAAGATGAGGAGTTTAACAACGAAATTATCCCTAATATAATTAGACTAAATCTTTACCAAAAGAACGATGAGCAATTCCTTCTTGATATGAAGCAGAAACTCCAGCGTAAAGGATTTAGAGGAGTATTTAAGACAACTAGTAGGCATAACTCACTCATTTTTAGGATCAGACATCGCTCTTTGGAGAGGTATTAAGAGAGTTTTAGGCTTCTTCTGGGGAATCGGAAAGTTCATGTTCAGAGTTACTCTGTTTCCCTTTGCTTACATGTACAGAATGATCCAGGGACATTAATGGTTGAGAAAATATATAATTTGACCCAATGCCGGTCTAATATACTGGGGTTTTGGGGTTTTGGGGTTTTGGGG